AAGACATGGTTTTAGAATGCCACTCTCAAAACAAAATGTGGAAGTTTTCTTTGAGGCCTGTGAGAAAGTGGATTTGAGGTCAGCCATTGCGTGTATCACAGGGCGGTTTTCTAATCGCCAGCACCCGGCGCAAGCTCGCTGCAAACCCGCTGTGTGGCTCTTGGTTCTCATTTTGGCACCACAGGATCCCTGTGCTGGTTCAGCACTTGCCACAGATGTGACCACATGCACCTGGAACTGGAAACTGGCAACTGGAACCTGCTGGGCATGAATCGTTAAAGCACGAGCAACAGCAGATGGCTGTCCGAACTCTAGGGACCACCTGAAGTTGGAAGGGGATGGGGCGAAGGTCTCCCTCCAAGCAGAGGGACCATGGCTTACAGTACATTTCTGAAGATCTTCAGGGCTTGGAATCCTAAGCGCAGGGGCTTGGATATGGCTCCTAAACTTTTTGAGCAGTTTCTTGAAAGCCGGCTTGGAGAACCTTGATTCCGGTTCGGGGGTAACGTTTGGAGCCCGAAATTGGCAAGGGATGCAAAGAATCCCATGAGCCCGTCTGGTGCTCAAGTCGCGCGCACCTACTGCACTCACAAGATTGCATCCCCCCCTCCCCCCCTCCTCCTGATTGATAACCCTAATGTTGACCCCAGATGAATAAATAATAAACCTCTGGTTCATTATACGGGGGGATGCCCCCTTTAGTGAGAATCCTTGACTGTTCAGAAGCACACCTCCTGTTCATAGGACAGGTTTGTTACAGGTCAACGTGAACCCTACAATTGAGTGAGGGGGGTCCATCGGGCACAGGTCCGCGGCGAGGCCAGCGGTGCGCTGGTCATGGCGAGGCGATCGCTGTTGGATGGGAAGCCCAAGGGGAAGTAGTCACTTTATTACTATTCTTACTTGCTTTTTCATTATTGTTACTTTTATATATTACTTGTTTATTATTACTTTTTTATTGTTACTTTATTTTTAGTATTACCTCTTCCATTGTTTCGTTTTTTTTTTTTTTTTTGGAGGGGGGGTCACCCTATGTTGACACATCACGTATGGTTTTTGAATAGCCATATAATTACCCAAACTTGTTATATCAGCGCGGCTACAAATGCCAAGGTTAGACGTTTGGATGGCGCTTCTATTTAGGTTTTGCAAAGGCAGCGCACCGTAGTCCCATTGTGCCTCCTTTTTTGGAAGGATTGAACACTGGAGTGACTCATGGCCATGTGGAGGTTTTCGGGTGTTCAAAGGTTTTAAAGGGAAGTATGAACAGATGTGTATACAAACATAGTGTTATATATATATACGCCTTCACAATTGTATATTTATATAAACATACATACATGTAGGACAGTGGTCACACTGTGCTACCTTCTGTAGACCCCAACCCCCATTGGCTTGTACGGTCACACTGTGCTACCTTCTATAGACCTGGCGGGGTGGCTTGTACGGTCACACTGTGCCACCTTCTACAGACCCCAACCCAACCCCCATTCCCACAAGGGGGGGACACTGCGCTACCTTCTTGACTGATGTTAAGTCGTAGTTTGATCTCCACACATGGGCCCCAACAGCTTGGTACGATCACATGGGGAGAGGTTGTGTTGTCGAAGGCCCCGCCCCCGGCATTCATCAGTTTGTCAAGCTGCCAGTCACAAACTGGCCTGGCTTTTTTTGAGACTGCCCCCTTTGGTGTGTTCAGGCGATCTGTGAGACGTTTGGGAAAATGAATAGACCTTTCCTGCTAGCAATCAAATACCATGGGGATAAAAGATACACCTAGAAACGGGATTGTCAAATTTACGCCATGAGGCTCCCAGTCCAAAACTTTGGGGCAAATTGGTTCGACCTCGCAAGTGCTTTGATTTACAACGGACCCACCTGTGAGGATCCGGTTTCTCCCAAATTGATCCATTTTGTTCCGTTTGTGAGAATTTATTCCTCTTGGGGTGCATGAAAGCCAGGCGTGCCAGTTTCTCCTTGAACTCTGATCTTCCCTCTCAAGAGGACCAGCAATGTCGCGTCAAACTAGGCAGGCTTCCAACGTTGTGCGGTTTTGTGGCTTCCCTTTTTAGCCAAGGGAAAAGTGTACCCTTAAACAAAGAAGTGGCATGTAAAGCTCCAAAACCCAGTGAAGCTTTGATGGTTTCCGTGCAAGGCTTTTCGGAGAGAACGAGGAGGCCCGTCCCGGGGTACTGAATGAGCTCTCAACAGCAGCCCTTTTGTCCAAATAAACAGCGGGACCATGTGGAGAAGACCGGCAGAAAAGTAGTTCCACAAACAAGGAAGTAGGATTCCACAGCGCGATGACGAGTCTTGCCAGTTTGAGCATTCCAAGTATGTCTACATTGTTTGCCCTGGACCAGAAAAATCTAGTTTCAATCATTCGAATACTTGGAGTTGTTGCACACTGTTGCTGTCCCCCCAACCAAATAGTTCGAACAATTAGAAGATGAATTCCAGCAAGATGAAAACTGAGCTTGTAAATTATTCTGGCTGTTGCTTTGAATGCTTGCGATTTCTCCCAAATGATTAAAATCCTTACAACAGTTCGAAGCTTCATTGCAATAAAATGATTTCGAGCCTCTACTTGTTCCAATTATGTGTTGTTGATGCAGTTCTGCAATTCTCCGGGGCTCTGGAGTACGGATGAAACAAAGAAAGCGCAATCCAATAAGTAAAAAGCCAACTTTATAATTATGCTTAGGATTTGGTGTGTTTGTGTGTGTGTTGCATGTTTGCAGTTTCCCTTAGCAACTCTGTGCCTTCTAATACTTGAAGCTTGTTTAGCGTCTAGGATTCCAGAAAGCAGACTCCACCTCCAAGTCTTGAGACCCTAAATATGTGAGAAGTATTGCGTTTGCACGCCTGCAGAACAGGATACAGGTCCAAGCGCAAGTGATACCATGGGCACGTTTGAGTGGCTGACTCTCATGGAAGCCTCAAACAGTGTTCCTGACAGCTAGCCAGACATGAGTAACATGAGAGTTGCATTGACCAATAGCCAGACATGGGTTCATAGAGCCTTTGAGTATAGTAACATGAGAGTCGCGGCTGTCAAGATCCCAGTGCTAGGAGACTTGTCTAAGGGTATGGGGTTTGGTAGGCTGCGCTACCATAAACACTGTTGAGAACCCGCTGTCAAAGGTATGGCCCCTTGAACCTGGATGCCGCCTTGTGCCACCCCCTCGAAGGGATACTGGTTTTGGCAAATCCCCACGAGGTGACATGCAAGTATGCTTTGTTGTTCCATGGACGTTCAAGGACCCGGTTGCTGTTTAAGCACGTGCAGCTTCCAGAGCCTGATGCATTCCATAGTCACGTCCTCTCGTGCTGCCCAATGTGACGGACGAGGGACATGTCATTGTTCAGATGGTGATCGGTTCAACCTGCTTTTGATGGATCACCCGGTTGGTGGGATTGCTCGACTTAGCTGGGATCTCTTTTTGAAGTGATTGGACATTTTAAGGTTTCCTAAACACGGGCCACGATCAACACACTGAAGCTAAATTCTGAGGTGGGCAAGTTTGGTGCGATTGCCACTACAGATCAGGTATTGAAGGTATCGCAAACGGAGACGGCTTGTAGCACGCCTTCACCAAGGGTTGGGTTACAGGAAACTCTACAGGAACACAGCTTTTTTGCGATGTTTTGGGGCCATGTCCTGTAGATTTTCCTGGAACCAAGCCCTTTCTTCACAAACTTGGCGTGGCAGTGCCATGAGAAATTTGCCCAAGACCAATTCACTCTGGGTGGCCTTGCAGCAGTCAGAGCACGAGGGTTCCTTCCTGCCCAATCAGGAGTGCACTGCACTTGCGCAGGCCGTGCCAATATAATATATCATTTGTCGAACCCCAAGACCATTTTTTGACGAATCTCCTTTTGAGAACAGGACCACCTTTCTGAGAATCATGTCAATTGCAGGGAAGTATATGCCCGTGCAGTGCTGAATCTTGCTCAAACCACGCAAACTACACCCAGAAACCTATAGGGATGCCTTGCTGAAGAGTGTTGGATGGGGCTTCAGTGGCTAGGTCATGCTATTTGCGATGAGACGGCCGCCTCCTTGTCTTGAATTCCCTGAACATGCTGTGGTGGGAACGACAACCAGGTTAAATGCTGGCAGGAACCTCCAAGAATTGGAATTGAACTTTGAAGAATGCTCGGCTCCAGATTGGCAACACCCAAGCCAACATGTGGATTTGCCGTCTACAAAAAAAACATGTTGCTATATCCTTCTGAAGGAGAACTCACCTCAAAGTAGGCTTCTTGTTGGTTTCCCTTCAAGCGAAGCTGTTTTTGGGAGGACTCAAGCCGCACAAAAGAACACGGAACGCCAGGCCAGCAACGTGCGAGAAGGGCTCATCAGGCAAGTCGGAAGACGCTGGTTGGCCGCTTGTTAAAGGCCGTGGCTGTGCGCCAGGGGTGCTTGTGATCGGTTTGTGAATCTGGAGGGCTAGGCAAGAATGTAAATCTAGGTTTCTGATGTCCACTCCCCAAACACTTTCAACCGTGCATCAACCTGGAAAGATCTCCCGGCTGGGCGGTTTGCGTTGTGGGGATTTTCACGCCTTGTTCTTGAGGGTACATGGGAAACCGCGGAGCCAAGCCACCGGGCTAACCACTCAATGCGAAGCTGATTCTTGGTGTCCCTTTTGTTTCAAGCTCAACGGATTTCGCTTGGAGGTTTCCCTGTTCCCTTGAACGGCAACCAGGTGATGCACATGTAGCTTGCCGACTTGGGTGGGCCACGGTCACTATAGATGGCTATCATTTCAGCCAACCTGGCACCTGAATCGTGTCCTTCTGGTTTTGAAGTCGTCCAACAAGAGGGATCCTTATTTTGGACGGTCTCAGTGGATGACAGATTTTGATCTTGCCTTCCCCCGCCCAACCCCTTCAAACACAGCTGACCGTGTCACACGGACGAGGCTCACCGAAAGGAAAGGCCACCCCGCAAAAGGAGTGTCTTAGTTCCCCAGAGGGTTGCCTCGCCTTTCGAGGGCCTCTGAGATGGCGCAGCCCGGCTCTGAGACGCGCACGTCGCCTGCTGGGTCAAATGGAATTCGGTGGGTTGGAATTGGGTGCCTCCAACATGAACTTCGGTGCTCCTGTTGGTTTCCCTTTAATGCATACCCCGGATTAATAACCCCCCCCCCCTCCCCACAAAAATAGAAAAAGTAGGGGGCCTGCGGGGTGGTCTGTTGTTGTTATATACATATATATATATATATATATATGTTTCAAACCTAATAACCACCTTATTTGTTTTTAATATAGGATTTTTGCGGAGTCTATTTATCGTTTTCGTTAAGGCGGGCATCTGGGTAAATTGTCGCCTTGTTCATTGTTGGCCTGGGGGCTGACGCTTTGTTGTTGAGTTAGGGCTTTTGGTTGTTTCATATTCTGGGGAGTTGGGCGGTTTTGTTTTATTTTGTCGTTTCTTTCGTCATTGACAATCGTTGGTGTTCGATTCATTTGGCACGGCTCCGCTTCATCAAGGCGAATGGCCAAGTTATCAAGGCCACTGGCCAAGTTACCAAGCCCTAATGGCCATTTTATCACTGAATATAGGACTCGTCGCAGCGGCGCAGAACTATAGGGTTTAGGGTAAATACTGTAGGCCCACAGCGGCCTTTGCAAGTCCCGCGTGTGCGTCCAAGCACAGTCGCCTACGGCAGCGCTGCCGCTGCTGCCTACGGCTCCGCTCGGCCTTCCGGCCCTCGCCATCGGTCGACCCTGTGCTGCAGAGGGGTCGACCTCAGTTTAGGGTTTTGGCTCAAGGAGCCATTTTGGGCCCCTGCGCTGCTGCTGCCTCTGCTTTTGCTGGTTGTGGCCGCGCTGGCTTGCGCATCCTGGGCGTGCCGCACTGGCTCGCGCCGCTTGCCGGGGTGTGGACTTCGGTCTGCCGCTGCCCGCACACACTCGCGTGGCCTCTCGGGGCCGATCCTGCTGGCCTGCGCTCTCCTTGCCCTTCCCGCTCTCCGTGCTGGAGCTCGCCGCCTTCGTCTTCGACGAGCCCCCAACGATGTGCGCAGCGGTTGTGGTGACGAACGGCCCGCCGCCGTGCCTTCTACAGACATGTCCTCCTGTTGGGGGGGGCGCCCGTGGCCCGTGGCAACGGCCCGGTGCAGCAGCTCGCTGCCCAGGTCCGTGAGCTTGCTGAGAAGGTCGCCCAGCTGCAGGCTCCGCGCCCGCCGCGCCACCCACGGCGTCGGCGCAAAACCAAGAAAGGCAGAGCGAGCTCCTTGAACCCCCCCCCCCCCGTGCACAGAGCTCTGGACTGCTGGCTGCGCTGCTCCGGCATCACGGTTTCTTTGTCCCGCGGTCGTGCGCCGGCCGCCACCTCCCCTGCCGGTGCTGCTCTCGCGACACGAAATTTTGTTAGTTGATGATTAAACATATTTCTTTGTATCTTCGATATACTTGACTTGATAGCAATCCAGACTTGATTGTTTAGGTTCTTTAAAGACATTTTCATTAAGTTCTTTTAACATAAATGTTTCGTTTATGTTTGTATTCGCTACTGTCTCTATCTACTTCTTTTGCTTGATAATTTTTACGGTTATTTTATGTAGGTTTAGTATTCATGCTCTTTAAGACTTTCATTATGTATTCGTTGTGTTCCAAAAGTTTTTCTAATCTTGGAAACAACAAGCCCAATCTACTGTCAATATTATCTAAATGTTCCTCCATATATACTACATTATAAGACTAACTTTAAAACTAAATGTTTAAATTATGCTAAATCTACTCTTTACAAACTAACTTACGTCCCTGTTAAAGCTAACATTACTCAAATTTTCATTAGTTTCAATAACTATCACCACCTGGTTTTTTCTCAATATTCAAATATTTATCTGATGTTTTGTAAGAAATCCTACAGGGAACACAACTAACCTTAACACCATCTTTTTTTTATCTACCGTCAACTCATTCTTAAAATTCAGAACGTGATTACATGTATCACATTTTATAGCCTTACTTTCACCCTTTGATTTAACACGTTCTGTTGTTGTAGTTCTTTCTTGAACCTCTGGTATTGGTCTTCCTTTGGGTTTACTCTTTTTCTTTTGGCATTTATATTAATATTTACTTTTGTATTTTTGATATATTGTATCCCTAACTTAATGAGTGCTAATGAAAAATAACAACATTGAATATCTTATTAGACCATTTAGAGTGATACTCCTTTCTGTCGGTGTAATTCCCCCTTTTCTTTTGAAACACTTTTACCTTATCGTTCTCCTCTATTCTGGGATACTTTCTTTTGTTCTTTTCTCGTAGTTTCGGACTGACCTTTGCATTTGTTTCGTTGGCGTCCTTGTGTGCTTCGGTCGGTGTTGTTATACGGTTTCAATGCTGGTGTTAGGGCATCGGTCCATTTCATGTTGCTAAGCCTAACTCTACCGTGGATTTTGTTTTTCACTGTCCTAAGAAAACGCTCTGCCAAGTTCCAAGTTTGCGTGGGTCTTTGTTATCATGTGTCGACACACAAGAAGGCAAGGAAGAAGACCCATCAATAACATTAGACGATGTAAAGTCTTTCTTAAAGAAACAACCAAATAACCAAATCAAAGCTATAGTGGCACCAATTCCTATACAGCTCCGTTTGCCAGATACGAATATCAAATAGGCATAATGCATATGACACCCTTAGTCAAAGATGTTCCACAGTATGCTTTAGTCGTGATTTACATCTTCAGTAAATTAGCAGATGTAGTACCGATGGAGGAAAGGAACGGAGAGCACGTTTTGAAGGCGTTGAGAGCAAGTTTTAAAACGATGGGTTATCCTATGTCCGTGTATTCTGATGATGATGGAGCATTTGCAACTAAAAACCAAGCTCAGGATTTCTTCAACAGCGAGGGTATCAAACACATCCGAAACCCTCGTCTAAGTCATAATAGATGTTGCTGATTATTTGGTCTTTCGTTAATCTCGCCATTATATTGAATTGTTAGAAAATGTTTTATCAACATAACCCCCCCACCCCTCAACACAAAATAGAATAGACTTACATGAATATTAACTTTTATATTACGGTAAATTATGGCAGAAGTAAGAATAGAGGACTTGAATATAGAAAATGTTGGAGTGATTGCTGACTTACCAAACTGGACGCTTTCAGACGAAGAAGATGATGATAATGACAGGTATAGAAAGGAATTAGAAGAATAGTTGAACAAAACATAGGATTTCACCAAAAGACACCCTTTACCACCAGTTGATGAAAACGAAGAATGCTGGGAAGATGTCATTAACAGGTTTAGGGATAATAGTGGATTAAACTTGATGACAATCTACTCATTTGTTAGGTTTGACATCATTAATGAAATGTATGAAAACCTAATAGACGAAGACATCAAAAAGAGTGTGGTAAAAAGTTAAACCAAGATCGAAGGTTGAAGCAATGATTATTAACCACTTTATACTATCAGGGTCCATACGAAATTAAACAAAGAAGACAGCCTAATAGATGGACAGATGCGAATTATTGAACACTGGTGGGATGGAATAGGTAGATGGAAAGCATGAGTGATTTAGTTTAATGATATTATTCTTATAGTATGATTAAACACTGTTTTACAATCTAACCAGAAGGTTAAGACATGAGAAAATGACACTATTTAATTATGAGACTTGCCCCTGTAACCATTTAAGATGTAAATCAGTTGTTGTATTAGCAAATGTTTTACCTGTTAATGTTTGTAATATTATTAGTGATTATAATAAAGCGGATTGTTTTAAATGTCAGTGTTTGAAAGAAAAAGAAGAGAGTCTTATGAAAGAACCATATTTACGTGATGATGGATTAGAAAAAGCAGAGGCTCAGTTATTGTTCTTCAGAAGTATGTTTAATCCGGCGGCTCGGCCACTGCGTGGGGCGGTGCCTGGCCCGGCGGCTGGGAGGACGACCGAGGGTTCGTTGGGGGGTGTGGGTCCTTCTTTCTTTCCGTGCCCGCCAGGAGACGGCGTGGAGGCCGAGCCGCAGGCGCGCTCGATCGGTCGCCTTTTTCTCGGTTTGCGTCGCTTGCGGAGGCCGCCGCCATCAAAGCTCCGCCGGGAGGCGGAGCACAACGTCGCCAAGGCTCGTCTTTCCCTTCGTTTTTCCCTTTTTTTCCGCTCGCCTGGCAGGACAGGGCGCGCGTTGAGCTTGCCATCAAGGCGCGTTCTTCGCCGTTCGGATGTCGGCCTTTTTTTCTTCCTGTCAGGACGAGCGGCTCACCGCGGCGGAGACCCGCGCTTCCACCGCGGAAGCGCGGGTGTCGGTTTTGGAGGCGGAGAAGGCGCGACCTTTTTTTTCGGGGTTGGGCGGGACCCGCAAATCCGTTTTGCAGGCGGCATTGATGGAGGAGCTCGCCGCGAAGGCCCGTTTCCCTTCCTTCTTTTCCCCCCCTTTTTGGGTTTTTTTCCTTGTCAGGCCACTCGCGTGGCCGTGCTCGAAACCGAGCTCCGCGGCGAGAAGGTTTGGACCCAAGGCTTTCAGGCCCGCTGCCGGGCGTCTTTTTTTTTGTCTTTTCGTCTCCCCGTTGCGCCCCCGCCAGGCGGACGCTCGCGCGCTCCGGCAGGAGCTGGAGTCCTGCCGGAGCGCTTGAAGGCTCATCCGTCGACCGTTGAAATCGATCGGCCTCGCTTTCGTGTCAGGGGTCTGCCTCGCCGACGCCGAAGCGGGCGCGTGGAGGACCCCCTTCGTCGTTTTCCTTTTTTTTTCGAACCGTCGCGCTCGATCCCTCGCAGGACAGTGAGCCCGACGCGACCTTCGACCTCGGCCCGGTGGAGGAAAAAGCGCTCGGGCCCACGGCCTTTTTTCTCGTTTTTTTCAGTGCCGAGCGGGCACTTAGGAGTGCCGAGCGGGCACTTAGGACCCAGCCACGTTTACATCCTTGTGATAGCAAAAGTTGTAGAAAACCAATAGATAAATTATGTGGTGGAGAAGGTGTAAAAGAAAGGTTTAAAAACCGGAAAAGATATTATAACGCTAAAAAGTCATATTGTAAAAATAACATTGTTAAAGTGACAGAAGTTTTAGAATATTGTATTAATATTGAGAAATCAAAGCCTATGATGTGTTATGGGTTATTCATGCCAAATCTAAACAGTTGGTGGGAATATAGAAATAAAGATTGTCCTATGAGAAACATGTTAAGCGACTTAATTGAAATTTACACTTTGTTAAAAAGGATGCGAGCATTATTGTTGTGAGTATGGTAAGAGTTGTTATAGCGGTTGTATCGCAGGTGAGATTAAATACGGGACAAATGACCTTTCATTATACTATGATTCTAACCTTGACAGAAAACCACATGAAAGTCACATAAAGACAATTTAACAAGAATACTTAGGAATGGTTATTAAAAAATACAGTAATGATGAATGTTGGAATGACCGAAGAAAAAGCAAAAGAAGACTATGGTGAATTCTTCAAATGTAGTAGTTGTCTTTATGAGAAGACTATTGATGACTTCGGTTGTGTAAAAAGTGGTAGAAGGTATAAATATTGTTCTGAGTGTAGAAGAAAAGTAAATAACTGTAGAAATAGAAACGGAAAACAAATGCACAACCCAACACCCCAGACATGATAACTACCAAAAGCCTTAACTCTTTCAAAACGACAAATCGTCAGCCCCCAGCCCAACAGTGAAACAGGAGGGCATTTACCCAAATGATGACCTTAACGAAAACGATAAATAGACTCCCCAAAAACCCTATATTAAAAATGAATAAGGTGGTTAATAAGTTTGAAACATTTAAAAACCAAAAAAGACAGCCATCAACACCACCCCCCAGGCCCCCTACCTTTTTCTATTCCCTCCCCTCTCAAGGTCACAAGGTCAGGTAGGTCATTTTTTGAGGGCCCCCCCCCCCAATAATGAGAAGGGGAACCTTGTGGGAAGGTCAGGTCAGGAAACTTTGTGGGAAGGTCAGGTCAGGGAACCTTGTGGGAAGGTCAGCTCAGGCAATTATGTGAGAAGAGGGCACCTTTCTTTTGAATGGCTTTTTGAGAACATGGTTGATTCACAGGGGGTGCCAAATCTATTAATTGTTGATCAGTTGGGGGCTTGTTGAAACACAGCTTGTGAAAAAGTGGTCAGGTCAGGGAACCTTGTGGGAAGGTCAGGTGATCAGGTTGAGGGATTGTGGGAAGGTCAGGTCAGGGAACCCTGTCAAAAGGTCAGCTCAGAAAACCTTGTGAGGTTTGCCAAGAACAATAGGGGGCGCCCGATCTAAAAAATGTTGATCAGCTGGGGGCCTGTTCAAAGTACTGAGCACCACAAAAAAGAAAGATCCAATCTCACCAGGCAAATGCAGCATGGCTACTGCGAATATGTCGCTCCGAATATATCGCTAGGAGATCATGATCTCAAGTGCGATAAGAATGTCATTCTTCATTGTTGCTGGGGGAACCTTGACAGCTGAATGGACCCTGCGGCACGCACCACTGAAGACATTGTGACACCAGAGGCAAGGCAAGAAGTGAAGCACCAGGCTTCCATATCCCGGAAAACAGCGGGACACCAAAAAGTCAAGAAGAGCTGGGTTCCAACCCAGGGCAGCCAACAATGGCCAAACAAGCCCAGACACGGCAGCGGAGACATGGTGTCTGACACCAAAAGGCAAGGTCAACAAAGACGCCAGTATCCAACCCAAGGCAGCCAACCATAGCCAAAACCGGCCAAGGTCAACAGAGAGCTGGGGGTCACCAGGGCCAAGTAAGGCCAGCAAGACTTGTTCAGTCTCTAACCCCCAAGCAGCCAACCAAGGCCCAAGCCAGCCCTTTCCTTTGATTTTGATGTCACAATGTCTACACTGGCGTGTTTGGGCTGGTTTTGGCTATGCTTGGCTTCCTTGCATTGGATAGTGTTGGCTGCTCTGGGTTGGATATTGAAACCTAGTGACGCCCAGCTCTTGTTGACCTTCTGCCTTTGGTGTCTCAGTGTCTGGGCTGGTTTTGGCCAGGTTGGCCTTGGGTTGCCACCAGAATAGTTTGCGGGAAATGGCTTGAAAACATGAAGAATTGCATTGTTTGATGCCTTGACAACATGGACGCATTGTTCAGTTGGCCTCGGAGCACCACGTCTTGGGATCAATTCCTAGAGGGTGGTGCTCATTAAAGATGACACAGAGAAGCTTGATCAGAGCTGGTGTGCAAGAGCCGGGCATCAAACTAGATTGCTGGGGGCTGTTGGCTTCCAGTAAGGGGGGCGGGGGGTGCTGCTGTTGCAAGTAGAAAAGGATGCAAAAGCAAGGCGTTAAACATGGTAGATTAATTAGGGGGGTGTGGGCTTCCAGTAATGAGGGGGTGCTGCTGTTGCAAGTAGAAAAGGAGCTGGTGTGCAAACTGGCTTCCAGCAATGGGGGGGGGGGTGCTGCTGTTGCAAGTAGAAAAGGAGGGTGCTGGCTTCCAGTAATGGGAGGGGGTCTGCTGTTGCAGGTAGAAAAGGAGCTGGTGTGCAAAAGCAGGGCATCAATCGTGGTAGATTAATGGGGGGTGCTGGCTTTCAGTAAGGGGGGGGTGCTGCTGTTGCAAGTAGAAAAGGAGCTGGTGTGCAAAAGCCGGGCACCAAACATGGTAGATTAGTTGGGGGGCGCTGGCTTCAGCAATTGCTGGCTTCATGGGGGGGGGTGCCGCTGTTGCAAGTAGAAAAGGAGCTGGTGTGCAAAAGCAGGGCATCAAACATGGTAGATTCATTGAGGGGCTTCCAGTAATGGGGGGCGCTGCTGTTGCAAGTAGAATGGGAGCTGGTGTGCAAAAGCTGGGCATCAAACGTGGTAGATTAATTGGGGGGGCGCTGGCTTTCAGTATGGGGGGGGATGCTGTTGTTGCAAGTAGAAAAGGAGCTGGTATGCAAAAGCTGGGCATCAAACACGGTAGAATGGGGGGGGGTGCTGGCTTCAGCAATGGGGGGGGGGGGGTGCTGCTGTTGCATGCGCAAAAGTTGGGCAAGTTTTAATTAAAGTAAAAACACATAATGTAGCAGGGGGGGGTTAGGGGAGGCGGGCTTTAATGGGGGGGGGGGGGTTGGGGGAAACACTTTGTAATTGTGGGGGTGCCAACCCAGATTCCTGAGTTTCAATTAAAAACGAGTATTGGCTAGGGAGTTTCAAGGAAAACCAAGCGCTTTAATAGGGGGGGGTTATTAATCCTGGGTCAGCATTAAAACCAGCGGTACGCGCAAAAAAATAGACACGCCCAATCCCTGTCGTTGTTTTGTGCGTCATTCTAGGCTTTTGTGGGTGGACCCACAAAAGAACCGCGGAAGTGGAACACCGTTTGCATTCACTTTCTGGTGTTTTAGGTGTCAATGGAACTGCATGGAACAAACACCACAAGAGCCAGCCAAGCGAAACAAGCCAAACAAAAATTCACCGAACGAAGGCGCCCTCCTTTCATTCCCCTGGCCCGCTGGCAAACCTTGCGTTCGAGGTCGGGTGCCGCCGCCAACCTGACCCGAGGCTCCTTGGTGGCCTGGAGCCAAGGGCCGACCACTGGGGAAAAAAGGGAATCAACAACAAGCGACAAACGCAACAACAATGAAAAACAAAGAGCAGCAAACAACAAGGGAAACCCCTGAACTTTGGGGAGCCATTTAGGGACACGCCCACCTTTTGCCATGGAGTAGGTGTTTCCATACTGCGAGCGCAGGTTTTTGTTACTTGAAGGGCACCAACTTCAATGAATCAGGTCGGGACAGTTCCAACACGCCAGACATCCAAGCGGATGAATCCGGCACCAAAAGCAAATCCTTTAGTTTGGAATAGTTTTCAAATATGAGCCACTCGTTAAAACATGTTCAAGCCACTGTTCAAACAACCCCCCTTCATTTAGTTTGCAACAAACTGACAGGGCTATGGCAACTATGGGTAGTTATATGAACGCAGTTTGCAGCCTGCTCCAGGGTTCTTTGGCATTTTGGGAGCTGTCTTTCTCCCGTGTGAAAGGGAAAGGGCGTGTTTCCACAAAAGGATTCAGCCCAAGGGAGACGCTGTTTGCCCTTCTTTGCTTTGAGGGTTTGTATTAATTTTTGCGGGCTTGCCCCTCCTTTTGTGGATTGAGAGTACGGTCATGCAGACCTCCGAGGTGACGCAGGTGTTGACGCGAGGGGTGATCACTGGATCTCATGTTCAGTGAGTTTTGTGGTTAGAAGACTAGAACAATGAATGGTTCTGGGCAAGACTAAGAGGCTCACCTGGGGTAAAGCAAGCTCACTCATATTGAACGTCCCTTACTTGGGAGTTCCATGTTTATTTCAGGTTTAGGAGTCAAAACAGTTTGCCGGGACCTTGGGAACATGCTCTGGTTCGGCGAGACAGCGGCTCGAGGCTATGCAGGAACTTCTGGATGTCCTCATTGCGCGCAGCGAGTGCAGGCGCAGGGACGGGATGATTTGCTGGAGGCAAAACCCCAAGTTGATTTACAAAATCCCGTGGTGCGGAAAACATATTGACCTCGGGTTAGGCAACCTGGTCTGGGAGGCTACTTTGGGGTGACCTCCCTGTCCACTTCCATGATTGTGGAAAGAGGGTGATGTGAAATCCACCAGACCGGCCCTTTTGGAGGAACATGGTCTTTCATGGACCTTTTAGTCTGGAAGCACTAGGTATGCCGTCAAAAGACCGGTTCCTCCACTATAGGGCCTGATGGACCACCTTTCTGGGTTTACTAGACCATAAAGACATGACTCACGATTTACCTTCATGACTCCTCGTGATACACATTCTTTGTTTTGTTTCTCAATGGCACAACAAAAACGTGCACCACACGGACGGATTCTCGCGAGAGACCCAAGTCCATGGACGACTCGGTAGCCTTTCTCTTGCGGTCTGAAAGGAGAACCAGGGAAAAACGAAGCCATTTTGAAAACAAATGTGGTCTTGAAGGCAACCCAAAGGAATGACGATGCCATTGACAAAGCACAACGAAAGAAAAAAACCAAAGGAACAGGAAGCCTCTTTTTTTTTAAAAAAAAACAAGGGGGTCCAAGCTAAACGCAGACGAGCCACCCAGTGACCCAGTTGAGGTTTTGACCAATGCAGGCTGGGGGACATTGACTGGGTGGAGGTCCACGCTGCCGGCAGTTCCATGGCCAAAACCTCAGGACGGCGTTTTCGGCTCACTTTTGGCAGGGGTCTTAAACGGCCCCTGCATTTGGCAGGGGCCCCTCCATTTCCCCTTTCTGACCTTCAAAAGTGTGGATTTTCTCCAAGGGGTTTGGGGGGTTGCTGGGGAGACCACCTGGGCCTCTGAGGGCACTCCCTTGGGATGGTTCTAAAGCCATCAGGTGTGTAACTCGTGTTTAGTTGGTCTTCTTGGGGTGTCCATTCAACCAACAAGTTAAACCTTTGACAGGGGATTTGAGGGTGTGGACTCGATTTTTTGACTTGGGCCTTTTTGGTGGGCATCATTCAAGGGTAATTGATCATTGTGCCGGTACTCACCTTCTCATTTAAGAGGTTTGGTGAGTGTATGGTCCATCGTTTGAGAGGGACATGGGCGGATTGACTAAGTTTCCCGCAAAAAGCCAGTGGACTTGCTGATTTGACTGATTTGTCCATGTCCTTTTGAAGAAACGCGCAATGTGACCGCGCATGATCAACGACCGCTCATAGTTTGTTGTAAAGATGGCATACTCAACCACTCACAAGTGGGGCATCACCAAATTTCAGCTTCCCTCCAATGAAAATTATTGTTGCAGTTGAACACGTGATAAGCATGTTTACATGGTTCACGTACTCCCACAAGATCAGGTAGTGAAAAAATGATGGAAGGTGGAATCCTTGCACGTGTTAGCGAAAGACTCCGTTCACGACCGAATGAAGGACAAACCCCAAGGCCATTGCAGGCTCACGTGTGTTGTACTAGCTTGGGCACGAGCTATGTGACGGGCCATGTTTGTCTTTGTTTTGACATGATTAGGGTGATGAGTGAGGAGCATCAGCTGGAGGCGTCCGCTTTCACATCCCAGCCACTTTGGGTTTGCTTGTTTTGGGTGCAGGACGTGTCGAGGCGAAGTGAGGCAGTCAGAACTAATTCCAGGCCGGCGACTTTGTTGCCATGAAACTGATCACTCCCCTCCAGCTTAGCATGGAACTCCCGAAACGATTACCTCAAAAAGGAGATGCTTTCATTTGTAGACGGCCCAGTTTGACTCCAGGGGGGGGGCGAATTTTGTTGCAAACATGGTTTACTGTTTCAACAGGTAGGAGACCCCCCTTCAAAAGCCGGAACTGGCATTCCTGCCCTTTCCAGCTAAATTCAACTGCGACGAACACCGCGGCTGGAGGTAGGTGGCTCGACGGGCTCCGGATCAGAGAGATGACTCGTAGATATGTGGGTTCTCAAAATGTTGGAATCCGCAAGCTCATGTGTTTCCAGTTGAAACAAACCGCTTCCGCCCCTCTTGCCGCCTCCAAAATTGAAAACGGTTTTGCCATTTGTTACTTTAAAGGGAAACCAAAGAGAGACCAACGCCCCGACGCTATGTGGAGACAACCCCATGGGGCACATCAAATCGAGCATGATCCAATTCGACGGGCTTCCGTCTAGTGGGAAGTTGCCATTTGAGCCACTGGCTAGACTTGTTGAGGCATGTTGTGTTTTCGGGGGATGAGAACGGGCCAGCTGCCCTTGCTGGGCAAGGGAAACCAAATTCGCGAACATCTCTCGCTGCTTGGTGGGTCAGAAATCACCCCAGGTGGATGCATTGGAAGCCCTTGCTTGCGACCAACTCCTGCGCAAGGAGAGGGAAGGAAGTACCAGTCATTTTGGCAATGGGTACAGCGAAATGGTAAGCCAAGCAGTGGTGCCCCTTCCTTCCTTCCTTCCTTCCTTCCTTCCTTCCTTCCTTCCTTCCTTCCTTCCTTCCTTCCTTCCTTCCTTCCTTCCTTCCTTCCTTCCTTCCTTCCTTCCTTCCTTCCTTCCTTCCTTCCTTCCTTCCTTCCTTCCTTTGGGTTTCCCATGTTGTTTCTTGTTTCGCTGGGTGGTAATGTCAGCATGAACACATAAGGGCCTGGTCTGTCGTTTGTGGGGTTGCTTTGTCTCCAAGCCGCAGCCACTTTGAAAGTTCTGGGCTCGTTGTGAGTGACCAAACCATCTTCGGGTCGAAATAATGGGTCGCGCAGTACGTAGAAGAGGAACCCCATGATTCAAGGTTTGTAGGATGCTCAAAGACAAAAGTAAAGGCCATCCGCACAAGGAGCCCTGCAAATATTTATGCTGTCCTTGGCAGATCTTTTGGCTTCGCTTTTTTGGATGATGATGGAGGGCCAAAAGGCTGTGCTGTCAACCACCCCTCAGTTTAAGTCATCCTCAGGGTTGACAAACACGGATTCTACCGTTTTTGGTCTGCGTTTGCAGTTCTTCATCAAGTCGGTTTCCAGTAAGTGTAACTATGCCCGCAACCCATGAAATCTGCCCGTGCGAGCCCTTCTGAGTTTTTAGGGTCTAGGTTTAGGGTTCAGGCATAGGTCCAGGGAGCTTGGGCTTGCGCCAGGTTTGGGTTTAGGGGCTTTACGTGCCCTTTAGGCTTTTTTGGTTTTAGGATTAGGGGTAATTAGGTGTAGGTTTTTTTCGGGGTTTAGGATTTAGGAACAACGCAAAGACAAGCTCGGCAGCAAACACAGTTGTGCTCCCAGCGGAGCATTGGTAGATCACATGGATCGGCTGCGAGTGCAGATCAATTTGTTTGTATCATGCGTTTGCCATGCCAACAACTGTCGTGATGTACCCAGGGGTGTACCCAGGGGTGTACCCCTCACACCTCAAAACCAGGGAAAACCCAATTTTTGTCATCGCCAGATTTTCCCGGTTGCCCGACCATTGCGGGACTCTTGTCTTCGTGGAATTTTCGTGGGCCGTGGTGTTTTTTGGGTGGAACACTCGAAAAGGGCCGCGGTTTCCTTGTGGACTCCCTTTAAGACCATCCCAACAAGGGGTTCCATCTCCCCAAAACCGACGAGCCATGTGTCTGGCTCTCCAAACTCCGAGCTACGCTGGCAGGAGATCATGGGGTCCCATTTGAAACATGCAAGAGCACTGCCCGCAAATGGACCCTAGATCAAGCATAGAAGAACAAGTTAGAACGTTGTCCAAGCAGGCGTGCTTTTCTAGGTAAACCATGTGGCCCAAACATCTCCAGACCGCATGGGCAAAACCGGACAGCCTTGAGCCAAATCGGTCGCCAAGTGCGTAGCGCAGGAGGCTGGCGAGCCCTCGCTTCCCTTGCCGTGCGCCAAGAGAATCAGGAGATGGCTCTTTGTGGGCCACTTGCTTTGCCCTGGTACCTTGTCTACCAGCTCCGCAACTTCACACTCACTGATTGACTGACTGACTTTTGTGCGAATCCCACATTGGGAGTTCTTAGTGTTCTAGCGGATGACACACATCCTTGTCAAGCTTTGCCAGACGTCCATTCCGAGGTATCTCGGCCTGCCTATGGTGACATCTTGAGGGACAGCACATATGGTCTAGGACACCATGAACGCATAGCTGCAGTGCTTGGCGTCCGACCTTTGTAGGCGACGCGAGCTCGGCCTTTGCCGCCCTTGACCTTCTGCGGGTCAGCTTAACCGACCCGGTTTTGGTGGTTTGAATGTGGTACTTTCAAACATCGGGGGTTTGTCATCTCTACTTTTCCCTTCTCAGACAATAGGGGAGCTATTTCCAAGGTTAGTCTTCCATCAGATTCTGGGCTGATGCCTCATTCTTTTCACGTCAAGAACATGTTGCCTTACGCCATTTTCTGAAAAGGATCTCTTTGTTCGACAGACCTGTAAACCTGAATCTGCGTGTTCATGTTTGGCAGTTTGCCTGGATTCTGACTGAACCTGGCTGGCGTACCTAGAATTTTTGTGAAGAATCCTGTCTTGGAAAGAGAAAAGCCATGCGCACCAAGTTTCGTAGAAGCGATCCTTTGGTGGACATTTGCATACGTGGCCGCCTAGTCAATTGCTTGTCCCGAAAATGTCACCCCAAACCTCTGCTCCCTGGAACTCGGCAACCGAACAATGACTAGACACCGCCAGAAGCGAGGACGTATGCGTTGTGCTTGCGGTTTCCTTTCGCATCTCTTTTTGGAAAGGCCGATGCAAGGCGAGAGTCTTTTTGGCGGTGACAGTTTCGAAACATACAAACAAGAGCTGGTGCAGGGTGACCCGCTTGAGACCAACACCCTGCCTCTCGATATCCTGTGGGAGCAAGTGGAATTTCTGATTCGGAGCCAAAAGTATATACCTCAGATCCGGTCGATTCGCCTGGTGAAGAAGTTATGAACATGAAATGGGGGTCTTCCGAAGCGCTCGATGTTTTTTGGGGGGCTCCAGTCAGTTTGGAGCTCCAATGCCCGAGGCCGATGACGAATTTCAAGGCAGCCGAACGAAGGGTGCGGAGGAAGGGCGGGTCCCTTTGAATCGGTGCCCCTTTTTGCAAGTCGTGCATTCTTTGTTTGCGGGTTTTCTATTAACAATCAAGTACCAACCCAACGTGCCCCCTTGTTTTCCCATGGACATCCACTTGAGGTCTGGAGTACGTAGCCTAAGATAATTGAAGTTTCAACCCCAAACATCCGGGGAGTGAACCCGAGTTTCCCATGTCCACTACGAGCATATGTTGATCGTGCCCATGCGAGGTTTGGTCAAAGCATCCTTCGGCCTTGGCCGGGATGGTCATCTTCCAATGGGTGGTCCAAGCCAATCGCGATGGACTGCTAGCCCGGGCCAACAGAAGTTGCAGTGCGAAGTCGCAAGAAGGCCCGGGACGCGGGAGAATTGACACATGCAAAGCGTGCTGTATGCGGCACCTGAGTTCAGCATGCTTGCAAGTCAAGTGCACGTCGCTCGCGGCCGAGATGAGCCTGATGTTCGAAGATACTGCTGAATCCAAGAGACCACAGAGCCCTTAGCTGCACTGGTTTAAGCACGTTGCAAGGAACAAGGCTGTACCGGGCACGTTTTATTTGGTCCACTGGTTAACACCTTAATAGCGACTTCATGCTGGTGTGAATCATACTTGAATGCGGATTTCGTGATGGGCTGATTATTGCCGGCGAAGCACATGTCGATGCTGTATGTCGTATATATGGTCTTAACACTGACATAGTTGCCCAGTTGGTTTTGACCCCCTTTTCCGCATATTGAACGGGTTTCCACACAAAAGAAGGGCCAGCCCCTGTGATTTGAATTTTCACACCCCGCGGTGGTTTGAAGGCCTCAAGAACCCCTTGTGGATGTTTTGCTTCAGTGTGGGCCATCGAATGTTGCGCAGGCCTGCATTGGATCGGCGTACCCCGCAGCCAGGGGCTTGGGGGTGGCAGTGGAGCGTGGCAGTGGAGCGTGGCTGTGGAGAATTTGGGTTCTACTCACTTACTGAATTCCTGGACTTTAAATGGTTTGAGAAGACCATTTTCATGGCAAATGAAAAGTTCAGACTTTTTTGGGCCAAACCACTCAAGAAGTGAGTATTTAAGATAGCCACATGTCCATGAATGTCAATAGGAATTCCGTCCACCTCTGGTGGAACCTAAATGGTGTCCACCAAAGCGCCCTCAGCAATATTCAAATTATTGAGAGATACTCCTGCCCCCACGCAAGAAAAGTAACAAAGGTCTTAAATCAGGCATAGGATGGAGTTTGGTAGCATGGGATGGGAATCCCGGTTGGGTAGCGTAGGATGGGCTGATTTTCCACAATCAGACTGACTGCACGAGACTTGTGAGGAAGCAACTCCAGGCGGCCGGTTTCTTCCTTTTGGTTTCCCTTGAACACCATCCCGAATGTCAAAACGGTTCCAACTGCCTTGAGACAGACCCATGTGAGTCATCAAACTATGCGAAAGGTGCGCTCGTGGCCACCGACAACAATATATGGTTCAGTGAGTCGTCATAGATTCTAATTTGTGACTGAAAGTTCCCCATGTCCCTCCTGAACTTATGCTCGTCATTCTTGGCTTGGACACCCGATTAGCTGATTTGCATGTCCGGTTTGCGCTTTGACTCCAGCAACTCCCCTGTTTGGACAATTGAAGCGTCAACTCAATTTGTGCTGTTTGAAAAGTAGAAGTTGACCACTAGACTTCCCCTTGCCCATGTCCCTTCTTGGATCACCAGGTGCTGCATTCAAATAAAATGACCCCTGGGTCCCTGGGTCTTAATTGGACCCTCTGGTGGACATCGGAAACCCCACAATCGGTTTCATGACACTCCATGTTCAAGGGTGTTCCAAGCATAGCCAACCACGAGAAGCCAGCCACGTCACTGGGTGTTTTTTTGGCAGGGACAAGCTCAGGGGCGCCAGGCTTGCAGGTCATGTGGATGTATGCGCCAACCGCAGCGGTCTTTTATGCCGCTCACACGAGTTTCTCAACCAGCTGCACAAAGAAGCACCGACCATTTCTTCAGGGTGGGGGTGTGTCGAGGAGATTCCGGCGAAACTGATGTTCTGTTCGATGTCAATCTCAGCCCACCCCGCCCCACAGGCGGGGTTGCTGGGGCTGCTGCGCAGCCTGCACTGCGCCAGGCGACCTTCAAACATTCGGCTGGCTTCAAGCAAGGGTCATTCGCTTCCCCGTTGGCACGCTTTTAGGTCTTTAGGTTGTTTGGTTCTGTGCGTTTTTAGAAGGGGGGCTGCAAAAAGCCATGCTTTTGACTGCCATACCAAGGGTTGGAAAGTCAGTTTGATTTTTCGAGGTTATCAAAGTTTCCACTCAACCTACCGCTTGGCGGGATTCGGGATGGCCTTTTACGAT